TTAAATCTTCCTATCTATGAACAGGGGATGTCTTTCCTTTTATCCAATCATTTTTTTAAGGGGGAAAGAAGCATTTTTTCAAATTTATTTGTGAGAGAGATGGAGAGAGCATGAGCAGGGGTGGGGGGCAGAGGGAGAGAGAGAAAATCTCAGGCAGATTCTCCGCTGAGCAGGGAACCCGATGCAGGGCTCGATCCCAGGACCCTGGGATCATGACCTGAGCCAAAGGCAGACGCTTAACTGACTGAGCCACCCAGGCGCCCCTATCCAGTCATTTTTAATATACTAGAGGAATGAGATGATGTAGCTATGTCCCCAGGAAAACAGAAATGATATTCCTTGGTTATGGGATAATTGGTAATTTTTATTTTTAAACATTTCTGCATTTTCCAATTTTTCAACAAGAATATCTTTTATATAACCAGAAAGAAGTTATTCTTTTAATATTTTATTTATTTATTTATTTATTTGACAGAGAGAGAGAGCGCACAGCAGGGGGAGTAGGAGGGGCAGCAGAGGGAGAGGGAGGGGAGCCCAATGCAGGGCTCAATCCCAGGACCCTGGGATCATCATGACCTGAGCCAAAGGTGGGCGCTTAGCCGACTGAGTCACCCGGGCACCCAGGTCATGATCCCAGGTCCCAGGATTGAGCCCCATATCAGGCTCCCTACTCAGCGGGGAGACTGCTCCTCCCTCTGTCCCTTACCCCTCTCTCACTCTCTCTCTCAAATAAATATTTTTTTTTAAAAAAGGAAAATATTCTTTAATAAAATACACTCACATTTAAAGTACTTTATAAACATGGAATATGCTTGGAAATGAAAATGGTTGAAAGATTTTTCAAAATACCTGAACATACCAGTGTTTATACTCGGCCATTTCTTCATCAGAATTTACTGATTGAATACTTTAAGGCCAATACTGTGCTAGATCCTAAATGTACTGTTTTTTTGTCTATTTGCTTGGTTTTTTTTGTTTTTAAGTAGGCTCCACACCCAGCATGCAATCTGAGATCAAGCCCCGAGCTGAAATCAAGAGTCAGATGCTTAACCCACTGAGCCACCCAAGCGCCCCTGAGTGTACTATTTTAACAAAATAAACATGATTCCTACGCTCATGAAGCTACATTTAGTGGGAGACTGACAATAAACAGGCAAACAAAATAGAAAATAGAAGTGCAATTACAGATTGTAAAGAGTACTATGGCAGAAAGCCCCTGGTACTATGACAGCGAATAATGGTGGGGAAGAGCTAACTCACTTTGATATAGTGGTCAGGGAAGCTCTCTCTAAGGTACCAATGTTTGCGCTGAGGCTTGGCTACTTGATATAAAGGCAAATGTTGGTTTTTGGTATCTGTCAAATATTCAAGTTTCTTAAACTTAATGTTTAAACTTAAGTTTAAACTTAATGCTCAGTTTCTTAAACTGAAAGGTAAAAATAGGAAGCTTTAAAATTCCAAAGGGAAATTAATTTCAACACATAGAGTAACCCCACCACCTCCTATACCATGGTAAATGGGGTCCAAAAAATTCAATACTATAAAATGTGGGGTTAAGTGATCATAAAGTTAATGAAATGCACCAGAAGAGCCTGCTGTGGTCCCACTATACAGTCCCAACTCTACTCCGTCCAAGCCGCAGTTTGGCTCCACCTAAGAGTAGTTGTCTGTTCCAGTTTAACTATCCATGGGGATGATTCTGGGGCCTGGGGGAAGGTTGGGAGTTCCTGGACCAAGGCAGCAATTCTAGAAATCTCCAGTGAGCTGGTGCCTTTTTTGTCAGCCTGCTGGGGAAGTATGGGCCAAGAGAATACTGAAGATTCAAAGCCCTACCCTTTCTCTCCGTCTTTCTGAGGTTGTGTGCCCTGACATGTCCCCTCCTGGTCTCAGTCTATCTTCCACTAGCCTCCCTCCAAACATGAGATCTCCAGCCCACTCCTGTTTGAGAATAAGAGTTAAGCAAAGGACCAAAGCCAAAATAACTGAATGAGGATTACCATGGAAGTTTTATTATAGGTTTGGTTGCTACTTGCCTCCTCAATATCCATTCCCTGCTCTTAGTAACAGAACTTAGATTTTGTTTAGGAGGCAATGTGACTAATCGAATTACATGCTTCCTTGAACTCTACTGCAAGAACACTACTGCATGGTAAGGTGATGGAGTTTAACCAATAAGATTTCAATTAAGGGATTTGGGAAAGCTCGACTTTAATGATATGGGCACTATTCATTTCAGCTTCCTTTTATACCTTCCTCCTTGGAACCTGGACATGAGGCTGGAAATAGAGCGATCGCTTTAAGACTAGGAGATAACCATGAGGATGAATGTTTTATATGAAGAATAGTGATGCAGAAAGATGGAAGGAAGCTGGGCATTGACACCATTGTGGAATGGCGGTCCCAGCCTGAATGAACCACCTCCAGACCTCTAGGTGAGAAAGTCCATCTTTGACTGTCCCGTTAGTTTTCCATTATATATAGCCAACTGAAATCCTAACAGATACAGTGGTATATCGTGAGCATAAACTTAACACCTTTTAAAGAATCCAAGATTTTTAAGGTTTTAGTGTAGAAAGTCCAACTCTCATGATTATAAAAGAGAAAATTCACAGCACTCCACTCCTTATCACCCACTGTAGAGTGGTCAGGAAAGGTCATTAAACAAAAGCACAAAGCAGCAGCTCCAGAGAGGGAGACATTTAATGCCGCTTATCTTCATTAACCTCATTTCCCAAGCCGTATCAAATAAACATATATTCCAGGTAAAACTGTGCTTGCTCTGTAAACATACTTCTAGAGACGTTCCTCGGTTCCTCCTTGCAAGGAGATTGCTATCCCTGAACTCCTCCTAAATGCAAATTTTTCACAGCATAAAATGACTTCCGAAGCAACTCTGCCCACAGGTAAAGTTATGGCTTAGGGTGCATTATTGCACATACCACCTTTCAACTTTCACACAGATGTATTAAAGTGATATGGCTCAAGGAATGATAGTTTTTTCTACTTTTGCCTTAGCAGGCTTCTACTCTAATCTGAAATCTCCTGTTTACTAACACACCCTTACACACAATGCCTCATCCTCCAAAACAAAGTCCTCAGATTATGCCTACAGAATTCATTATTCTTCAGGGCAGATACAGCCAGCATTCAAAATAATATGAACATTTGTACAGAAAGTGTAGTTCAGATAAAGCAACATATTAATAGGCCAAATCAAAGGAAGGAAAGGAGAGAATTCTGCTAGTTTTCTGTATGTACCCTTGCCCATGTGAAATTAAATTCTTTGTGCATCCTAATGTGAACAATGTAGAGTGGTTTTATTATCACAAATAAGATAATGGGCATTCAAGTAGGCTATTCAAGCAGGGAAAAAAATCTAAACTATATGATGAAATTTTTCATCACAGAACCCAAAAAGGGAAGACTTCCAGATGAAAATCCATATGGAGTCAACCAGAATTACATTTTTTTTTCATTTCAGAATAGAATTACTCCATAAAGTTTTCTGATATCTTTCTGATGTTTCCCAATGAAACTCTAGAAAAGTAATAAAATTCAGTCAAGAGTCATCATAACTGAATTGAGTCCCAAATAAGTTATTTTTTTAATTGTCAAAATCTTACATGTCAAATTACCTGTTTTAGAGATCTTTTAAAAAAAAATTGGGGGGGCAGGATTCCCTACTTTTTTTTTCTCTGAGTAGGCAAGGACAATCAGCAGGAGGCAGCCTGGGATTTTCAGAGATCTTTACTATCATCAAGACAAAGGCTAAACTAACATGTAATATACAATTTAGGTGGCCTTCCTAGAAGGCAATTCAAATTTCAGCGTGGAAGGTCTTCCGTGCCCCGTGTCAACTCTTCAAAGAAGCATACCATAAAACATTACAAGTGCCTTCTTCACCATCTGTGTGTGATAAGTGATTAAAATGTGGGCAAAATTATTTTGCCAAGCCCTGCGGCTTGAAGCCACAACACAGCCCCCACAGGGAATCTAGAAGCAAACACACTGAGGGTTCTAAGTGGTCTCGCAGAAGCGCCCTCACACCCCACTGGAGACTCACCTGGTTAGCTTGCCCAGCGGAGGTAGGGAGTCGGGTCTATATATTCCAGACTCACCTCTAAACCCCCAGTTTGTGCCTGCGTGCTTGGTTTCCCTCAGGCTAACAGGTTTAAATCAGTACTGGGTGGCAAGCTATGTCATTCTGTGGGTTCCGCAGTTTGGAACATAGGGGCTCTGCAGCACCCGAAAGTTCTTTGCAGCCTGTTTTCATGCCCAAACTCTGTCACTGAGAGAGCATCCCTATCCTGGTCCAGTCGCGGGGCTGTCCATTGAACAGCCGGACGGATCGCTGCCCGGTGCGATAGCATCTCACCCAGGAGCCGGAGGCTGCAGGGCAGCCCCTCCTACCTGGGACAAGTGGCCAGAACCCGTTTCAGCAGAGGCATGAACGCTCCAAGACCCGGAGAGGACTCGCATCCGAAAGAGATGTCTCCCAACGCCCAGACAAAGACAGCGCTGGGAAAAGTTGGACCAACTAGCACCACCAGAAGGCGAGCGGCTCAGCCCCTCGGCCTTGGTGGCCGAGCCGGCGACGCGTTCTCAGAGTCGCAGCCAACTTTTCCCGTGAGCTTCTGAGCAACTTGCTGGAAGTTGGGGCGAGGGGGCAGAGGAGGGGTCAAGGGCAGCGCGGAGAGGGTGGTTGTGCCCCAGCCGGTTTCGCGTACCTCCCCAGTACCTGCTAATGTATCCGTCCCCGTCGCCGTCGCACGTCTGGAAGAGGCGCCGCATCCGCTCCTCCTCGCCAGTGCTGGACGTGTCGCTGCTGCTGCTGCCGCCGCTGCCGCCGCTGCTGCCACAGCAGCTGGCGCTCCCCGCCGCCGCCGCAGCCGCCATCATGCGCCGGCTGCCTGCTCCGGAGGAGGAGGACGCGCGACCGCTGGAGGAATCCGCGAGGCGCAAAAGCGGCTCGCAGCCCCGAACCTGCCTGACAACGGAGCATGCCCAGTGGCCGCCGGGGCGCTCCGGGCGCGGGATTCCAGCTCTCCGGGTTTTGCCCGGGCTGGGAAGATGGGTTCTCTGCAATCGCCGGAGTAGGCACCTTAATGGAGAGGGAGGAGGGGAAGGTGGATCGTGGAGTTGGGGAGCCAAAGATGCCGAGGGGACGCCAGGGGACGCGAAGGGTGGCAGAGTACACAGGAGGTCCCCTGGAAGGGTGTCAGCTCCGCGTATCCGACCACTACGCGGACCCCTGACACTTGGGGACTCAGGCAGAGGCGAGTGTGCTCCCGGCAGAACTCCTCCAACTGCCAGGAGTCGTGGATTTCTTTTCAGGAGAAAGATAAACACTCCCGTTTTGCAAACTCAAAGCGATACTCCTGGTCTCAGTCTGCAAGACTGCGCTGGATTCTGTACCTATAACCCACAAATGAGACCCGGAATGGCGGGGGATTTGTGCATTTTTAACACCTGTCAAGAAATCTGAACCTCCTTAGCTCCGACTGGTCTTCCACACTGTACTGTAAACAATCTGCTCTCCGGTGTGGCATTGTGCACGTTTGATCCATTTCTGGAAACGGCTCCTGACCTGACGTCACTACTATTTGACCCAACAGTTTTAATAACATCAAGAGCGAACATAATAGATGGTCTCATTTCACTGCAGACCTGAAAGATGTCTCTATTATTATCAACCCTATGTTTTAGGAGGTAGGTAACTACTTCATAGGGTATCTTGGCAATAAGATAGTATATAATGCACTTAGGCCAATGTCTTGATACCTACTAAGTACTCAGTAAATGTTAGCTCTCATTATCCCCAATTTACAGATAAGAAAACCAAGGCCCCCAGACCTGCTTAAAATTCCAGGCTCAGTAAGTGTCAGGGCAGAGGCAAGCCCAGGCAGGCAGTCTCACTCCAAAGCAGGAGGCCTTAAACACAACAGTATCCTTCCACCACAGCAGAAAGGGAACCACAATGAACCAATTTGTGGTTTAGGGAATGACTCATTATTCTGTCCCAGACTTTCTGTCAGAGGTCTGAAAATTCCTGTGGTAGTTCTAAAAACACATCTGCAGATTCTTTGGTGCACCTCTCATCAAGAGACAGAGTCTGTTTGCCTCCCCCTTGAACCTGAGGGGGCCTTTATGAATATTCTCTTAACTTCTGAGGCCAGGCTAGAAAAGACACTATAGATTCCATTTGGCTCTCTCGCTTGGGACAAGGACCTCGAAAGCCCTGAACTACCTTGAAAGAAATTTGTCCACGCTAAGCTGCCATGCTGGAGAGACCATGTAAAGACAGAAAGAGATGCCCAAGGAACCTCAGCTGTTCGAGCCTTCCCAGCCCAGGTACCAGACCCCAGTGAATGAGAGAACCTTCAGATGATTCTAGACCCTGAACAAAAATTGTCCAACTGAGCCCAGACAACCCCCAAAGATACAATGGCAATAATAAAAGGATTGTTGTGGTTTTAAACCACTAAGTTTTGAGGTCATTTGTCATGCAGCAATAAAACCAGAAGACGTCCATATGTCTTGAAACTATGCCAGGTCAGAAGGAAGCTGTTTTTGCTCTCTTCTCTCCCCTCTCTGCCCCATCCACCCCTTCCTACTTCAGTTCTTTTTAAATCTGTAAGTTCCCAGGACTTCAGGGCACTTATGATTCATACAATGAATAGGATGTCATCTTAGAAATATTCTGTCAAGGGACGTTTGGGTGGCTCAGTTGGTTAAGCGCCTGCCTTCAGCTCAGGTCATGATCCCAGGGTCCTGGGATCGAGCCCCATGTCCAGCTCCCTGTTTAGTGCAGAGCCTGCTTCTCCCACTCCCTCTGCCTGCTGCTCTGCCTACTTGTGCTCTCTATCTCTCTGTAAATAAATAAAATCTTAAAAAAAAAAGAAGAAAAATTCTGTCAATATATCCAATAGTATTTGCTTAAAAGATGCTACTGTCAACATAAATATTCTTGCCTACAATAGAACAAGGACCAATGTTGAAGCTTCTAAAAAATATTTAGAATCTTTATTTTTCTAATTTTTCATAGAATAAAATTTTTATTACTGTCTGACAGTATAGCCAGACAGGAATTGTTACCCTTAAATCCTCCTAGACCTAAATTGATGGTTTGGGTGTAAAAAAGAAAAGAAAAGAAAAGGAAAGAAAGGGAAGGGAAAGGGAAAGGGAAGGGAAAGGGAAAGGGAAAGGAAGGGAAAGGAAAGGAAAGAAAGAAGTTTTTCTAAATACATATGTATGGAGGGTCTGGAAACTCAAATGATTTTCCAGGATTCAAGTATATCTCTTCACAACCACACTCCATATATACAGAAAGCAGAGTGTAAACCTCAACCAATTATATTTCAAAGCAAAGAATGTTTTTCTCCTGAGAAAATATGTGCATGACAGCTCTGGAGGTTTAAATTTAAACCATCTTGAATTAAATCTGAACACAGAAAAAGTGGATCTTGACAAATTTCCTAAACAACATTTGCTTATGCTTGGGTAATTCATAAATGGCTGAACAGACAGATTCAACCTTCCAGAAAAGAATTTGCTTCTGAGCTGATATGAAGCATATGGAATTTCACCCAAAAAGGTTACTAAGAGAGGGAAAAATTTGTAAGACATTGAAAATAGAGATGCCAGATGAATATAAACATGGTAAATGTAAAGTAGGAGCTTGGAGTGAGAGCAATACCCATGGCCATAAATCTAACAGTACTGGTTATGTCATAATTTCAAAGGTTTTGTGTATTTATCTGAGATGAGTACATAGCTCAACACCATCCTTACCCAGTTTTCTTTTCTCAGATTCCTCTTGGTTATAGTAAGTTCATATTTTTATCATACATTTCAAAATACACTGCATACATTACAAGATATATGTCCTCTATGTCTAAAGTCACCAGTTAAAACAAATAAAACTGGGGCGTCTAGGTGGCTCAGTCATTAAGCATCTGCCTTCGGCTCAGGTCATGATCCCAGAGTCCTGGGATCGAGCCCCGCGTCGGGCTCCCTGCTCTGCGGGAAGCCTGCTTCTCCCTCTCCCACTCCGCCTGCTTGTGTTCCCCCTCTCGCTGTGTCTCTCTCTGTCAAATAAATAAATAAGATCTTTAAATAAATAAATAAATAAATAAACAAATAAAACCATTGCAACACTGTGCAAACTTAATTACCTGGTACTTGCCTTTCCAAATTCTGTTTACCTAAACTAGGACCACATGCACACCTGCCCCACATCTCCCCGTGTCCTCTGCCCACCTTTCTCTCTGTATGGTGTTTTTATGAGCCCAGTTAAGCTCCTATATCCCTCAAGAAGCCTTCCTTTACCTCCCCAGGTCACAATGATGTTCCAGAGCTCTCTTAGCTTGAAGCACACATTTTGAGGATAGAATAATTAGAATGATAAGAATCATACACTTTAGGGCGCCTGGGTGGCTCAGTTGGTTAAGCGACTGCCTTCGGCTCAGGTCATGATCCTGGAGTCCCGGGATTGAGTCCCACATCGGGCTCCCTGCTCGGCAGGGAGTCTGCTTCTCCCTCTGACCCTCCCCCTCTCATGCTCTCTCTATCTCATTCTCTCTCTCAAATAAATAAATAAAATATTTTAAAAAAAAATCATACACTTTAATGGTGATTTGCCTCCGCTACCCACAGTACCAATTATTTATTATTAAATGAGGTTGTAAATTCCTGAGAGAAAACAATAAGGTAAAGTTGAGCTTTACCTTGAACTTTCATTAAACCCTTATCACAAATCAGTAAGTACTGATTTAAATGTTTAAATACCTTATTTAATGCTATCGAGTAGGGAAGGTATTTATCATTCTTATTTGTGAGGTAGGAGGTGGTGAGTGAGAGGAAGCAAATCCAAAAAATTTAAGAGTAGCATGCCCAAGTAAAGAGTCAGTTCCCGATGGCCTGACAGCTGAAGGCTGTCTTCTGACAGCACTCTTAGAAGCCTGGCAACAATCCTGTCTTGAGGGGAGAACTGCGTGGTACATTTCCATGTTCATCACAGGCCACTCCTTGAGCCACTTGATCCATTTCATATATATTTGGGGAGCCTCTCCTCCAAGATTCTGGTGGGCCTCCCTTTCAGGGGGAATCTTGGAAGAGAAAGGTTAGTGGGGGAAAATTACAATCCCCAGCACTGCTGTAGGTCCTGGGGTCCCAAATGCTACTCATTGTCTCCCTCCTCCACTAGCAAGTCTAGATCCCCTCACCCTCAAGAGCGGGTCTAGGCTGTTTACTTGGTGACACAACCAAGATTCTCACCTCTGATTGCTGCACTTGTTCATTTACTGTTAGAACGGAAGGGTGCCCAAATAAATCACCTGTGTGCTAAACATATTCCTTTTTGCCTCTGTTGTGTAATTATAGCACTGCCTCTTCTTGATGATTAGTGTAAATTACCTCAGCCAAGATAGTGACTCTTCTTGCCTGCTGATATCTATCCCTTGGTGGAGGTGGTCTTCCATTGGAGAAGAGGAATTCTAACCCTGCAGAGGCAAGAGGTTTGGGGACAAGAGGCACAAATTTCCCAAATGGATCATTTCCCGATAGGGAGTTAAGACAAGTACGGTCACTCCTGCTTCCACCCTTTGGTTTTTAGACCCATGTAGACTTCTTATCAGGGATGTAGCTCTATACGAAGTCTTTGATTCAGCATATATGCTGTGCCCTAGAGGGTGGCTCACCATCCTCATAAAGTGTCACCTTCAAGATGGAACTTCAGCTGTGCTTCCAGGAGGCTGTTCCACTTATTCCAGCAGCTTCTTGGTGGTGCAGTATGTGATATGACCAGTAGGTCCCATGATCATGAGCCATTCCTACACATTAGGTAATGTGGGTTACCAGATTTGACACAGTGCTATGTGGGACCTCATGTCACTAGAGTAACACTCTGTAAGACTGTGGATAGTAATATTGGCTGAAGCCCTGCAGGTAGGAAAGGCAAACCTATAGCAGGAATGTGTGTATAGTGTGAGCATGAATTGCTGGTCCTTTCAGAGAAATGACCCAATGTACTCAACTTGCCATCCAATGGTCAGTTAGTCTCCTCAAGGAATGGTGGCATATTGGGGGCCCAGCA